GTACATTATTTATTCGTTTTCTCAGTTCTTTATGGTTTGTTGCAGATCTGATCCACCGACATCTTCATCTTTCCTCTTTTCGAACTAGTAAACTATCGGATCCGCCATTTTTCTGATCATCTCCGTCTCCACACATGTGCTCCACCGTTTATTCACATTTGTTTCTCTCTTATTATTGCAGATTTAAGTCGCACTTCCGTTACAAGTAAGTTTTTTGGTCTATCCTTGTATCCAGATCGGTTCGAAGTATATTTATGAAACGTTAATTGTTGTTTATAACAGACTTCGATAGAAGTTTGCACAGTAAACTGACAAAGAAACCTACACGATAGACTGACTGAGAAGTCTACATGTTTTTGAATCTATTTTTTCATTATGTAGCAAGAAACTGCAAACTTAATGAGTTATTGTTATATTGTCATCAGGGACGGGGCAATACAACTACAGACAACCGTCAAGTAGTTCCATAAGGAGTGTGAGTTCAACTACTCAGCGTCGAGTAGGTAGAAGCATTGGATTTCCCAACGGTTGTTACTGCGCTTTGGTGTCAGTTATCAAAACTTCCACTACAGCTAAGAATCATGGTCGAAGATTCTATGGTTGTCCTAACGATGCGGTAATGAATTTTGTGGTGCTGTTTGTTTGCTATTGGCATTTATATATAAATTTATATTAGCGAATATGTTTGTATAGGATGGTTTGTACCATTAATTCAAGTGGTTGGATGAGGCAATAATAGAAGAGTTTGAAGAGATAAGGCTGGTGGTGGAACAACAAGCTAATTTAATTCGTTACTTCAAAAGTAAGGAGAGCCAGGCCATACTGGATTGTATTGATAAGCCACATATGGAAACGATTAGGCGTTGCATTCAGAAAACAGACATAGAGCTAGCGCAATTGAAGAAAGATGATTATTGAGAAACGTTACGGAAGCGTCAAGGTGGAGAATGTGATGGTAGCGTGTCTAATCCTTGTACGTGTGATCGGTTGTGTTTGTGTTTGCTTAAAGAGATCTTAGTTTATTATTAACTTAAGTACTGCATTATTAAAAACATATATTCGGTGACCCTTTAATTTTGTATATTTGAAAGGGTTTAATTAGGTATATTGCTCGGATTGGAATTGATGTGAAAAATCTAGACAAAA